AGATCCACAAAGCATTAATAAGTTAATATAATTATGTAATGTGATAAGCTAATGTAGCAATTTTGCAATCAGATTTTGAGGGAAAAAAATAATGTTCAAAAACTAATAAATCTTTGAATTATTCATTCATATCTGATTAAATCTTATGTATAAATTAATAAATAATAATAATAATAATAATCTAATTTAATGTTGATTAGAGAGAATTTGTTATATTATCTGAATTTAAATATTAAAGTTATATGTTAAATAAGACCTATAAATTTAATTTATAATGGTAAAAACAACCCACAGAAAAGGCGTGCCAAAATAAAATAAATAACTGAGCTATGAACAGAGGTAGAGTGCAACCTGCCTGACCAATACCTGTTTAAATTGATCGTAACAGAGCCCAAAATCCTTGTATATGAACAAGGATGAAGAGAAATCAAACAATAAACAACGATAACCGTTACTGACTGTTAAAAGTCCGTTGAATGACCGTTATCATTCGAAAATTTGCCATAGGAATTAATGCTACAAAACTAGATTGCTAATAAATAATTAATTAAATAATGTAGAAGCACCAAACTATAGGGAGTAATTTATTATCTTACTGATTATGCGACCCCTTTTTCCACCCCCCCCCCGAATTATTACTCCCCTACTCGCTAGACCAGCACGAAATTCCAAAAGTTTAAGGCTCAATTACTACTACTAATTAGTATACATTTGAAATTAGCATACCAAATTGTCCGCGGTGACTAGCTGTATCCAATAGTATAGTCAGCTAAACCGTATCACAAAAAATTTCGGCCAAAATTTTAAATTTTTTATGAGCTTGCACCTCACATTGTTAACTGACAACGAATCCTCTCGCCCCTCTCCGCCTGCAGGTACTGCCTTACGAGAGGGCTGTTCACACGATTTCTGATGTTACTCATGGAATGCTTTTGGAAAGCAAGTATTGAGATGATGAAAAGCTCCATATTTGGGAACTTAGAGACCACTTGACAGTTTTTAAGTACCACTAGAATCGCCGGGACCATATCAGAGGCACCAGAATCATTTGGTGGGGGGATAAACTTAGGTCCTCTTTGTATAATCTTGAGAACCTGGGCTGGAACGTGCTCCTCCATGTAATTGACACCGATCTAGCAAGAATGGTGTTGCAACACCAATACACCCCATTTTGGGACCAAGTGGTGATGCTCAAGCAGTGTGATAACAGGAGCCTCGTGTATTTATGGGAGGCGCTCCTTACTGATGTGCTAAATTCATGCAACACCCCACGCTGGATGTGCCTTCTTTGTGGGTCAATTTATATAACAAATTAAGATATCGTTGTTAGCTCCACATTCATGTAAAAAATTTTTGCACATGCGCATTGGCACCACATGCATATTATTCAAGTTCTCTGTATTTAGTTCCATTTTTGGTTATATTCCAAAGCTGTTTTGCCGTTAGAGTAGTTCAAAATCGTTATTCGATAAAAGGATATTAACCGTTTTCATCTGCCTGAAGAAGACGAAAATAGTTTCGTTGAAAGCGCTAGTAGTTTACAGCGATACTTGTACGTTGTTTAATGCCTGGATGATAATTTTCTCGTTTCTTGCTTATCTATTGATTGGCTTGAGGTCCAATATCTTTCACTTTTAAGTAAATACCTTGCAACCAGAATGGATGCAAAGTAGTGTTTCTCAAACGGGATCCCGGTTGTTTTGTTTCAATTTGGGAAATCCCGCAAATTTCTTAAAAATTCACTTTTTTCTTATTTTGTGTTAAGGTTGAGGAATTTTGCAAATAGAAAGCATAATTAACTCATTCACTGTCAGAATACATTTGTATTTATTAATTTTAAACTTACCTATTAGTTTTTTTAAAGTTTTGCTCGTTATGGCATGTCACAAATGGTCAATAATCAATACGTAGCTTATTTGTGGCAGGACTCTGAAAATTCTTTACTTGTCAGAACCTGTAATATCTGGAATAATTGTGCATATGCTGTCTTAATTTTAAACCATGCCCAGTAGCTTCAATAAATGCGTAATGCTAGGTTGTGCAAATTGGGCAAGGATACAAACGAGTATGAAGTCTGTAAGTATGAAGTTTTTTTTTTCAAAAACCTGATTATTAAAGCCAAACGAATTGCCAAATTATTGAGCTATAAGCTTGATGCCGCTATTAAAGCAGCCGAGGGAGACAAATCAAGAATACTAGAGAGCAAAAGAAGTACTACAATCTCAAATGAACTCGAAATCTTCCAGGCTACAGGTGAAAAAACATATCTGTCTTCTCTTAAATGCATTAAACACGATTCCAATCACATCAGTTGAATCGGAAAGGGCATTCTCAGTAGCAAGACTTTTCATTACTAAAATAAGAATTAGAGTGAGTGATTGGAGTATTGACCATCTTTGCTTTTTAAAATCTTATAATACAAAATATTGTAACTTTTATATTTTATTTAAAAAATGAAAATTACCTTCTAAGTTAGAAGTTTGATCTAAGTTTTTTTTTTGTTTTTGTTGTTGTATGTAGTTTCCAGAAAACTTTAATAAATTTTTTTATATTTGTGAAAATTTCTACGTAATTCAAAGGTAATTTTTATTATATATCTTACACAGCATTATTAATATGATTTTGGATGTTACAGAAGTTTAAAATTACTTGAAATCAAATGATATAATTATTATTCATTTTTTAAAGATATTTTGTATACCTTAAAAATAATTAATTCTATCCTGGGAAACAGTTCACTTTTATCCCGGAATCCAGGACAAGCAAAAGACCAGAAAATGAGAAACCCTAATGCAAAGTTTGTTAAAGCCATTAAGAAGTTATTGGAGAAAAATTGTTGTTAAGCTAGCAAAGAACTGAATTGTGAGTTGAATGTGTTTAACTGTGTTCAACATCTTGACAAAGAAATTGAGGATGTGCAAAATCATAGTAAAATGGTTCTGTACTCTCACTGACATAAAGAAGTGATAACAGATGGAAACTGCATGACTTCATCTTGAATGTTATGGGCATTAGGGAGGAGTTTCTTTCCTGAATTATTGCACTTGATGAAACTTTGGGCTGATTGTATGAGCCTGAGCTGAAAAAGCAGCCAAGCGAATGATGGCATATACAGTTCCCAGGCACCAGGAAACTGGCAAGAATCTGGAAAGCTGAAGGTAATGATGATTAGACAAAAAAAAAAAAATGATGATTGCTACTTACAACTTTGAAGGCATTCTTTTATGCCATTCTATACTACAAGAACAAACAGTAAACTCTGCTTATTACTTTCACTTCCTGGAAAATATCTACATTCAGCAATTCAATGGATGTTTCAGTTGCTACAGTCACATCTGATTGTTCTGAACAATGTTCACTGTCACATTTCTTCTGCAGTGACATTATTGGGACAACGACACTGCAAAATCTTTGAGCATTTGCCATACGAGGTCTGTTCAAAAAAATACGCAGACTGACGTTATAAAACAAAATGTACTTTAAGTAGAAGTTACATGTCTGGGTCCCCTTCAAAGCACTCTCCTTCCCAACACATACACTTATCCCAACAGTGTTTCCACTTGTTGAAACAGTCCTGGTACGCTTCTTTTGTAATGTCTTTCAGCACCTTCATCTTATTTGCCTTAATCTCAGGAATTGTTTCAAATCTTCTTCCTTTCAAGGATCTTTTAAGTTTGGGGAACAAGAAAAAGTCACAAGGAGAAAGGTCAGGGGAGTGGGGAAGAACAGTGATCGAGTGTTTAGTCAAAAAATCACGAGTTCTGAGGGCTGAATGGGCTGGAGCATTGTCGAGATGGCGAAACCAATCGCCACTCCTCCACATTTCTGGCCTTTTGCGACGGATGGTGTTTCTCAGACGTTTCAGAACTTCAACATAGTAAGTCTGGTTCACTGTGGAGCCTTGGGGGAGGTACTTGTGGTGAACAACACCCTTAGCATCAAAGAAAACTGTCAGCATCACCAAACTTGGCAAGCTTTTTTGGTTCTGGGGGACATTTTACCCACCCACTGGTTGAGCATAGCAAATGTTTCAGTTGCAGATTTTCCAAGTTTAACACAAAATTTCACAGCAAGTCATTGCTCCATCAGGTCATTCATTCTGAAATCCAACAAACGAAAAAATCGCACTTCACTAAAAACCGCATAGCTAATTGACAAATAAAGATATCTGTAATTGGAAAATGGTTTTATCACCAGATGATCTGTACAAACCTAGCGATACCAAGCTGATTCCCCTGGAACAAACTGGAGCCACGCAATTCAAACAGTCCACGTATTTTTTGAGCAAACCTCGTATTTGTTGGATGTGAACCATTGTGATTTCAACTTGTTTCAAAAGATGAAAGAACTATTCAGAGGCTAGTGCTTTCCAACTGTTCTTAGCACTGTTTTTGTATTAGGATGGTCCCTACAAACTTTGTCATAAAACTGTTGCAAACAACATTTGCCATCCATCAGATGTCTGGCAATGGATCATCCATGCAGCTGGAGAATACATCAAAGGATTGTATTGCTAACCTATGTTTCAATAGGTAGGAAATAAAAAGCATAAGCCCACTTCAAAAAAAATATTCTTGTAGTTAAATGTTTTTGCTTAAAATGTTTAAGCTCTTCCAAAAGAATGAATTCTAACCAGTTCATAATATTTATCACAGATAAGTTACAATCTTTACAGATTTAGCATTATCAAAATTATAATTTTCCATCAGTTTTCAATTGAGCTGCTGGAAGATAATAATTTACCTTTCATTTTTCAAAGGTATGATCTGTCACATAATCTTGAAAGACTAAGAAAACAAATTAAATTTTTAATTAATTCTCTTTGATACTTTTTAAAATTTGCATAAATTCCTAAAATTGAAACAACATTCTTGTTATTAGATTTCATTTATGATTGTTAGATGTTATTATCAATATTTTTTAGTAATAATGATATGATATTCAATATACAATATAATGTTTTATATATGTGTATTTTTAATAACAGTTCTTTATTTTAGATAGCTGGAAACCTTTAGCTACTCATCTTGCTCATTCAGGCCATAAACTTGTTCCTATACAACAAAATTTAATTGATGTAATTTGGGAGAATAAACCTTCATATCCTGTTAAAGTTATTGAACCGTTGCCTTTAAGTTTTGCAGGTAATCATTGTGATGCTTATGTAAATATAGCAGTTTATTGTTTTCTTAAATTTCAAAAATTATCAATTGTTCATTAACCTATCTGATGTTGAAATTTTTATCTGTTGCCTGTGATGCCATGTTGAATTTTTGTCAATGTTAAGCCTAAAATGTTTTTTTTTTCTTTAAATAATAATCGTGTTTACTGTGTTGTTAAAAATTATTTTTTTTATGTTGCACAAACAAAATAAATATATTGAAAAATTTAGAAACAAAAAAAATTATATTTCAAAAGTTCATTTTAATATAAAAATTATGATGCATAGCGACATCTAGTATCAAAAACATTCCGATGTAGACACGAAAATATTCGGGATCACTCACGCAGGTCAATGAGGTCAACACGAATACTTTCAGGAACAACGCAGGTCAGGTTAAAATTAAATACAGTTGATTCCGCTTAATTGGGACATGTTAGGACTAATCTATTTTGGCCCAATTAAGCAGCTGCCCCAATTAAACAAACTAATAATAAATTCTAAAATAAATTATGTAATACATAAGTAAAGAAATAAGTATGTAAAACATAATAATTAGGTACCTATTTTAATGCTTTATTAAACCAAAATACAGAAAATATTTGTACTATAAATTTGCCAGACCATGACAATAGATAACTGATTTGCATCACAGTGTTGCCAAATACAGTATTAGTAATGATGTACACAAGGGTTGACTGTTCGATTCGTTCCTGTTCAAACGATTTTTCCTTTCTCCTAAAGGGAAAAAGGAAAGGGTTCGTTGAAAAGTCACCTTACTGTTTTCCTTTGAGCACAGTTTCCTTTACTTGGAGGTGGGCCACTTCGGCAGGAGCATCCATAGAATCCGCCAGCTCCAGATGCTGGTCTCAATGATCAGATGGCTGCTGTTCGGATCTAGATATAATTATGCACACAATACTTTCCAAGGAAACTCTAGCTGTTTTCCAACTCAGTTGAGAGACCTTGAAAAATTGTCCTGGGATCTTTGTTCTTTGGCTTTTAAAGGGATTGTCCAGTCCAATCCGGAGCAGGGTCAGTAGCTTGCATTCAGGTCCATCTCAGACGGGATCCCCATGTGATACGTTCCATGTGAGTTTTCCTCCGGAAAACTGAACTGCCTGAGTGAAAGACAAAATTGCTTTGTCTCTGCCAATCGTTAGGCCTACATGACATTAGTGTGCATAGTGTCTACATATTTTCGGAAGATCCCTAAAATATATCAAAACTTGCTAAATTCCTTTTCTTCTGCTGTCCCAATTAAGCGATTAAGTTATGTATTAATTTATTAGTTTGGTTTCTGTTCTTTAAGATTTGGCCCAATAAAGCGGCCTCCCCGATTTAAATGGGTGGTCCAATTAAACAGAATTGACTGTATATCACCTCAACATAAACATTTAAACTTGCACTATTAAAAAAATATAAGTATCACAAATATACAAAGAAAAAATTCTTGCTTTTGTTTTTTTTTTTTGTATTCATTGTTCACACCAAGTGGCAGTCCAAAACAAGAATTCTTACACACGGGCGACCTTTTCTTTGAAGCTCCACCTTCACAATAGAATGCAAATGGAAATAGCATGATATGTGAGAATTCTTCTTTTGTACTGTCATTAGTGTGAATGACAGGAAAAAAAACAAATGAAAGAGAAATATTTTTAAAAACGAAATACTGTCTGGCTGACAGTATTTCGTCAGCCAGATGGTTTTAAAAAGTTTTTAAATTTTACTTTCTTAATATTAAATATTTTTGGCATATTTAATAGTAAAGTAATTTTTATTCAGACTATAATAAAAAAAATAAGTTATTATCATATGTTGCACTTAATACAATGAAATATTCAGTCATGATTTATTTATTAAATGTAATGTAAATATGATTTTAATTTTGATTTTTTCATCTCTAAATTTATTTTTATTTGTGCATCGACTTGAGAATTACAAAGATTCTCTAACGTCAGGTGTAAATATTGGATGTACAAGTAAAGTTGAAGTTTTTTTTTTATTAGAGTGAATTTTATGTAGAAAATTATACATGTAATATTTATTATAATATAAACAATTTCATAAATTTAAAAATAATTGCTATTAATATAAATATTAAATCAGACAAAACACATCATATAAAAACATGAACTAAGATCTATTAATAAAAACAAAAAACAAATATGTAATTTTTAGATTTTCAAAAAATTAAAATGATAATATAATTTTTAAATAAATTAATATTTTTGAAAATTCTTTCAAAAAAAAATTTTTAGCTGAATAAATTGAAAGTAATTTTGTCATTAGATTCGATTTTAAATGAATACATCAGTGATAGAAATGATTGCTATTTAAGAATCTAAGTACAGAATGTAATTTTATTTTATTTATCATAAAGAAAATAACTTGAATCATGTATATTGGAGAATTCTCAAATTCTTATCTGTTTCATGTAATATAGTTTTAGTACCAGAAATTTAAAGATAGCATATTTATAGTACCAAGTTGAATTTGATTATATTTTTTCAGGAAAATAATTTAAAGAGCTTAAAAGGAAACAAAATTACAGTAAAATCTTGTTTTAATGGATTATGGAACAGTGGATTTCTTGGAACAATAGATTTTTTTATCCCCAGATCCTGCCAAATCAGTTTAATTTTACCTCCTTTTAACAGATCTGTAACTCTGAGTAATAGATTTTTTTCTTGCCACATCTATTGTAAACTTGGCATTTTTTCAATGTTTAGATAATATTTGGGTGCTTTTAGGAATTTGTAAAGTTCAATGATGCACTTGTCATATCTGGGAGATGTATTGTACAATTGAACAATTATACAAAGAGAGTAAACAGGTTGATATGATTGAGGAGAAACCACCTAATGAACATTCTGATGTTGGTCCAAGTGTGGTGCCAAAATTTAGCAAGGCCATAGCCTTTCCATAGCTTTTCCAAGACCTTCCCAACAAGTTTTGGCATAAAGGAACAATCTGTACAGTATGTGATATTGCTTATATTGAGTCTGTGTTGTTTGCAATAGGCAGAAAAGCAGCATCAAAACAAACAAAGATGGATGAGTTTTTTTAACAAATCATGAAGTCATGTGAAGTACTAATGAGCATGTGTAATTTACCTCTTTATGTGCTTACAGTATATACAGTTCCGTCACCTTTGTCATACACAAGTACAGCATAATGTAAGATCTTGCAATATGTGTTTCTACAGAATAAAGAATAGAGTCTCAAGATAATGGCTAATTTCAAGTACAGGTATTTCTGATATGTAAGGAGTTAAAAAATGGAAATTCTTTTTTCAAATAACAGATATTTTTCTGGGTGTGTGGCAAATTGTTGTTTGCGATATAATGGATCCACAGAATAATAGATGATTTTTGATGGCTCAAGCGATCTGTTAAAATAAGATTCTATTGTATATATGCTTGACATTGTAATAGTAAAATGGTTTAATGTATTTTTGATAAATAGATTATCAACGGTTTTTCAAATTATTGCAATGTTTTACAATCTTAATGACAAATATTAATATTATAAAAATTTTAGTGCAATAATTCATATTTATGAAATTTTTTAAAATATTTTAAATATCTAAAAAATTAGGAAAATCATGGGAATCAAAAGTATCGGAAGTGCGTGAAGAAATGACTCAAAAAGAAAGTTCAATTTTGGTAGTTACGGCATTGGATGAAATAGCATGTAAGTAATAGAATTTAATGAGATTCTTGTTTTTCTTAAGTAAAAATGATTGAATCAGGTTTTTATTTGCTACTAGCTGCAAGGACCCGCTTTGCTGGGCCAAAAGTAACGATAGTGAAGATTAAGATAATTACATTATAGCCAATCTTACCCGTTTTCACAGAATGCAAGAATTAGGTCCCCCGTTTCCAGACTAATTAGAGAATTTTTACAAGTCTAAAAATATGTTTGATTTCCCGCAAAAATGCAAAAAACCGCCTGTAAATCTTGCATGCCGCTTTATATTAACACTTCCTTTGTTATTCAAAACTTCCATTGTTAACACTTCCACTGTTAACACTTCTATTGTTGACACTTCCATTGTTACACATCTTCGAAGTCAACCACTTTCATCCCCATATCTCCCACACCCTTATAGCACAGAATGCAAGAATTAGGGTCTCCAGTTTCCAAACTAATTAGAGAATTTTTACATCCAGTCAAACAAACTATTTTTAATTTGATCAATTTTCTGGAATGTTTACAATCATTCTATAATCGAACCAATTTGAATTCAAATTTGAATACAAATTCGAATCGAATTCGTATTCAAATTTGAATTCAAATTGGTTCGATTATAGAACGATAGAATTTGAATTCAATTCAAATTCTATTCGAATTTAAAACGGTTCGAATATTTTTAAAATCGAAATAGAAAATCTTCGAAGTCAACCACTTTAAGCCCCCATATCTCCTGCACCCTTATAGCTATTGAGACGCAACCACCATAGTGCACGAATGGAGACTTGGGGCTACTACCACATACAAACACCATTCACGTGCGATGTGTAGTTTTGGCTGAAAAGTGAAATATAGGGACACACACGTCCATTTATATATATATATACTAGCTGCAAGGACCTGCTTCGCTGGGTTTTTATTTGTTCATACATTTGTATGTAATATAGTTTTTTTATATATATAAAAGACTGTTTTTCTAAGTAATCTAGAATCTAGCTGCAAGGACCCACTTCGCTACAGAAAAAGTATTTTAACGATAGTGAAGATTAAGATAATTACATTATAGCTAATCTTACCCGTTTTCACAGAATGCAAGAATTAGGTCCCCCGTTTCCAGACTAATTAGAGAATTTTTACGTTTAGTCAAACAAACTATTTTCAACGTTTCTGGAACGTTTACAATCGTTCCATAATCGAACCAATATTCAAATTTTATGTTCGAATTTAATTCGAAAAAATTCGAACAAAACATTCGAAATAGAAAGCCACTTTCAGCCTCATATCTCCTGCACCCTTATAGCTATTGAGACGCAACCACCATAGTGCACGAATGGAGACTTGGGGCTACTACCACATACAAACACCATTCACGTGCGATGTGTAGTTTTGGCTGAAAAGTGAAATATAGGGACACACACGTCCATTTATATATATATATACTAGCTGCAAGGACCTGCTTCGCTGGGTTTTTATTTGTTCATACATTTGTATGTAATATAGTTTTTTTATATATATAAAAGACTGTTTTTCTAAGTAATCTAGAATCTAGATGCAAGGACCCGCTTCACTGGGTTTTTAAAAAGTAACGATAGTGAAGATTAAAATAATTACATTATAGCCAATTTTACCCGTTTTCACAGAATACAAGAATTAGGTCCCCCGTTTCCAGTCAAATTAGAGACCTGGTCCCGATTCAATTTCTGAACGTCTCCTGTTCACATCAAGTCAAACGAACTATTTTCAATGTTTCTGGAACGTTTACGATCATTCTATAATCGAACCAATATTCGAATTTTATGTTCGAATTTAATTCGAACAAATTCAAACAAAACATTCGAAATAGAAAGCCACTTTCAACCACTTTCAGCCTCATATCTACCGCACCCTTATAGTTATCGAGACGCAACCACCCCTATGCACGAATGGAGACTTGGGGCTACCACCACATACAAACACCATTCACGTGTGATGTGTAGTTTTTGCGGAAAAGTGAAATATAGAGACATACATGTCCATTTTTATATAGATTTATTGATGATTACAAGCACTTCTATTTATTTCTCTTTGAACTATATCTTAGTACTGTATTTTCTCTGCTTAAAAATTATCAAAATAACTTAAAATTGATTTACAGATTTTTATTCATTTTTGTTAAATAAAAATATATTAAATTTTAAATGTTAAATTTATATTTGACTAAAGATGTGATCATATTGGCAAATAAAAAAAGAGTAATTAAATTTTCAAAAATGGCCTAATCACATTAGTGAGATAATAGTGTAAATTAGACAAGGCATAAAAAGAATTAAGTTTGTTTTTATTAGCATATTAAACAATAATTTTTACCAATTTGAACACATTTAAACAAATTAGAAATGTTAATCATTTGAAGAATAAGTTGTTCAGTTGTGATCTTACATTCATTTATAAAAATTTTGTGAGTACTTAAATATACATAATTACTAAGCATAATGTTAACATACAAATATCTGATAATCAAACTTTTTAGGTTAGTCTTTGGCTAGTAATTAATTAAAACAACTTAGAAATTTGTTCTAAAAATAGACAATTAGGTTATGATCATATATTTATAATTAGAAATGAAGTTTTAATAAATTAAATAATTTAGAAGTTTCTGGAAGAAAAGGTCAACTTGTCAAAAGGACTTGGACCTGCATCTTCTACATATTATGCAAATGCATTAAAATTTATACTATCTGAATTTCCATTTAGTCTTCTTTCTAACCTATATTAATTAATGTTATATAACCATACAAGTTAATTACTAAGCTGACTTGAGATATTTTAGGCTCATAGCCCTCTGTGGCTTTCAGCCAACTAAGATACTAGCACAAGAGCTAGAAGGCAGTTAGTGTAAAATGTTTCTAGTTGGTGCAACAATTAATCTGTATGGTTATACAGCATTAATTAATATATTTTTGAACTGACAATCAGATGGCAATCTAGATAGTATAACTTTTTTTTTATTTGTGGTTTTAGGCCCCTTACCGCTATAGATAGTATAACTGGTAAAGCATACTCATGATATCTGGAAATGCATGTGAGAATCCTGTTCTAAGTTAACATTTTCTTCCAGAAACTTTTAATTGAAAGTTTTTATTTTCAATTATTAAATTTAATCCAAGATGCCTAAAAAGAACATTATGAGAATAATATGCTATTAACTAATTAGTCAATAGTATATTATTCTCAATTTTTTCTTAGGGTATAGCCCAAAAATTCTGGTGATTAGATATTAGAATTATTTTTATTTAACAAGTAGAATCTATACAAGCATAACTCATCAAAGACCAAATACTAATACTTTGAAGAAATCAAACTTCAATTAAAGTTTTTTGAGACTGTTCATCTTCAGATCTGCATGAAACAAGTTTGAAAAAAAAATTATACTTTGTATACATACATATTTTAAATTCAAATTAGTTTAAGACATTTTAATAAAACCAGTGTAGTATATGTTAACTAGATGACACTTAATATAACAGAATTTTCATGCACAATATATTTAATTAATATGCTATAAAAAAAAACAAATAAAAATAAAACTTTTTTAGTTTTATTTATTTTTACTACATACCATAATAATTACGAATAATATACAAAAATAGAACTTAGTTTAAAGAAACTATTGTGCAAACTTCAAATAAATGCCATTTAATGTTTGTGTCACCATATTACCACATTGTTGGTTTCACCTATTGTGACATCCAGGGAGAATCTAGGTTGTTCAAATCGTGTTTCCTGTTTGCACTTAGGTCAACATTGATGATGATGATGAAGAACTCTTTTGCTGTTTCTAAAGGATGTTTTTTTACACCAATAACATATCTGCTTTTTCCCATTTAGCCACTGCTGTTTTGTTCAGAACTAGCTGATTTCAAGAGGATTGTAGTAATCTTGTCTCTTTTTAACAGTCTGTCACTGAATATTCTATAGGAACTCTCTCAATATACTGTTTGTTCTAATCCATCTCAATTAACTGTATATAGTGTAACCTGATTTACAAATACAGTACTAACAACATGTTAATTCAATACAATGAGCTGATTTATTTAATCTGATTTCCCAGTTTATAAGAAACATTGGATACAATGAGCATTGACCACTTTGATGGGAATTTCATTGTCACAACATTGAAATTCCCATTCACTAAGATTAAAATAACTAGCTAAGATGGCTAGCAGATTTCAGTCTCCATTTTATTTGTCTCATTTGTATTGTGTATTTGTCCATGAGTGATAGTGCCATTCATTCTTACACTGTTATTCAATTTAGTAAATTTTAACTCTACAAACCCTTCTATTAGTGATTATAGTGATTAAAAATCAATTTTATCTTATTTTATTTGTTTTATTACTTATTGTCTTAACTATCTTTCATTGTCTTACTGTTAAATGAAGAAAATGTCTGATAACTTATATACTTGCTTTTCTTATGTTGTATTTGCTTTACTCATTTCATATAAGTTCCTTTTTTCAGTGAATAATATAATCAACACTTTCATTTACTTTACTTAACTTTTAACCAACGATTCTAAATGAAATAGTTACTTGGAAAATTAATCTTAATTTAGTAACATGGATGGGATGATTGGGATTTATGCCAGAACAAGATATAAATTTTAATTATAAGAGAGAACCTCCTGATTTATGAGATTTCAATTTACACAAAGTTTTTGGGAATCTATATGTGAGGTATGTTTATAAATTGGGGTTATACTATATTTATTAGATTTGCTAAATTGTTTATTATAGTTTTTTACTTCTCAATCATAGCTCTTACATTCCAGTTCATTCCAAATTCTTCATCTTTTAAGTTGATTTTTAAATTTTTATGAAGAATATTATGGAGAAATTCTGTTTTTAGAAATTTGGCATTTGAATTTACAAACTTTGTGATTGTTTATTTGTTGTAATTAAATTTTATANAAACACTCACAATACACAAAACACATGCACTGAAAAAATTAGCAAGTACACAGAACTCTCCCAGGAAATAAGGCATCTGTGGAGGATGGATGGATAGGGTGCTTATTGTACCTGTCATTCTCTCCTGTACAGGTGTGATACCACACACACTACACAAAAGCCTGGGAACATTACAATTGAATAGAAATGTTAATACATATGTCACACTACAGAAGGCTACTATATTGAATACATGCCATATTATTAGGAAATTTTTGAATTCAGACACTGATATACTTATTTAATTTTAGTTTTGTTTTGGTTGCTATGCCTTGACTCTGGTCCAGCATAGTACACAGCCACCAGTGTCAACCGAGTATAACCCACTAAACCCAACATAATAATAATAATAATGATGTATCTATTAATTTTTTTAAGGTATGATTATAATTAATTATTTTTCATATGTTTTAATTGATTTCAGGGCTTCTCAATTTGCGAGGATCAGATATTGATTATAATCCAGTTTTCTTTTCTTATGTTTTATTAACAATGGATTCTATATAGTGAGTTCATTACATTCCTTATAGTTCTACATATTAAATTAAATATATTTATTTAATTCAATAAGTATGCACTTTTAATATTAAAACATAATAAATTTAATTTTTATTTTGAACTTGTATACTTATTTTTTAATTTATTTAATATAATTTAGAAAATGCTGTAATATTTGAAATAAAATATTTAAATACTTTAAATATAACTAAAATAAAATTTTATATATCATTTCACTTGATTTTGATTTAATTATTAACCCCAAATTTATTAATTACCAGTTAATTTAATTTAACTTGTTAACTTCATTGAAATATATATATAAACTTCACAAGGAGTTTGATTAATTAAAACTATTAAATAGATGTTTAATTGTAAAGGTATCTAATAATGAATATTAGTTATTATATAATAAATGTTTTAATCAAGTTTTATTAATTGAAAACAAAATTGTTATAACTTTTTTCAAATAAATTATTTATTAGTAATAAGGTAAGAATTCTGTTACAAGGGTGAACATACATAGTGTAAGTGGCCAGAATCACACGTATAGAAAAATTAAATTTTGTTTTCTTGTATTAAAAAAAATTATAATAATTAAATGTTGTGAAGAAAGTTGGTGAAATTTTTTCTCCATCTTGTCAAAGTTATTTTTTTCAACTAGTTATCTTAAGAAGATATTTATTTTTGTGATTCATAATGATTAGTTATAAACTAATCCTTCTGTTACTATTAATATCTGGCATCGAATCTAACCCAGGACCTCTGCAGAAAACACCTACAAAAAGAGGCAGACCACCTATCAACCATTCAGGATTGGAAACAAATCTTATAACTGATTATACAGAAACAAGAAGAACAGTTTCTTCAACTGCTACAGGTGAGAACTCTAATCTTAATAATTTAACAGAATCCATTAATCCTGAAACATCCGACATCTCAACTGCAGAGTTATGGTCAAGAATAGTTAAAACTTATTGAAACGAGTAACCAAAAGATAGATAACCAATTTATGCTTATTCGGGATGAAATTAATAATATTCACACAGAAATTATTGATTTTAAAAAACAACTACAAGAGGTAAATGTTAAATATGAAAAAATTGAACTGGAATTGACTAAACTGCATAGTTATAAAGAACAAATGCAATTTAGATTTAATGCTATGACTAATGTTATTAATAATAATAAATTAATTATCTATGATTGTGCAAATACTATGATAGACAAAAATCATAAAGAACTTCTGGATTTTCTTGCATTTGTTTTAAAAATGCCATGTATTAATAAAGAAGATATAAAATCTATTCATAATATGCCTAATCTTAATATCAATATCAAATGTGTAACTTTAAAAATCAGAACAAATACGTAATAATATACTGTTGAACTATAATAGATTAAAACAAAATAAATTACTAGGAGAATGGCAGAATGTTAATCTGGCTGCAGATTTGGTTAAGGATTCTCGTTTAAGAAGGAAAATGCTTCTACCACATTATATTGATCTAAGAAAACGTGGATTTCAAATTAAATTAAGGAATGATTATTTTATGTTAAACAGCAAAAAATTGCTTAAAGTTTACTACAACATCATTTGGTTTATGCTGAAGATTATTTAGAATATATTCCTTCAGAAAACTTAATAAATCAGACATCTCAACTAATATAAATGAAGAGAATGATAAGATAAAAAAGCAACAAAATAACTTACTACGAATAATTAATTGGAACTGCCAGGGGCTAATCAAAACAATAGTAACAATTTTACTTATCTACTAAATAATAATGTTATAGGTCTTACGGAAACATGGATTACTACTCTGATTACTAATTTATTTAAAAACAGTGATTGATTTAATACTATTACGACATTAGCTAAAAAACCTGAAGGACCAGGTTGCCCTTATGGAGGTTTATGTTTGTTTATAAAAAAAAACTATTGGAGACATTAAATTTTGTCAAAAAACTGATAATTACATATTGGTTATACTGCAAGTTACCAACTCATCTATATCATTTTTATTCAAAAAACTTATAATAATTTTGTTGCTTTACATACCACCGGAACAAATATAAACTATGAATAAAATATTCAATCATTATGGAAAATTGAAATATATTTCTCCATATGTTATAAGTATAGGTGACATGAATGCCAGAATTGCTCAACAAATGGATACAATATACAATGGTCCAAATACATTAATCTGTAATATTCAATAATCCAAAGATATAAAATATAATAAACTAGGAATGCAACTGTTAAACTATATTAGCCAATTACAACTATATATAATGAATGGAAGATTAGAATTCGACGGTCCTTCGGAATTTACATGCATAAACTATAATAGATGCTCGGTAATAGATTTGACTATTTGTTCAGCCCTAGTGACAGATTTGTGTACGGGTCTAAAGGTTTTGAACTGTGATCTATCTGACCATTTTCCGATATGTACATCTTTTGAGGTGTCAACTACATCTGCTTTTGAAAAAGAATTTATATCTCAACAAACAATTTATTATAATTACCAAGCATATTTTTCACAAATTAGTGAACTTATCAAAATTACATCAAATAACGGACTAATCAAGGACAATGAAAAATACCTACAATTGATAAATATAATTAAACAATTTATAAAAATTCGAAATGTTAAAGGACGGCAAATTTTAACATTAAAAAACCCTGGTACGACTTGCAATGCTATACTGTGAAAAGAAAGAAAAATAAAGCTTTACATCAATTTAGGCAAAATTATTCAAATGAATTATTTATGAACTATAAAAAATTAAAAACAATATATGTTAATTTATTGAAATCAAAAAAACTTAAATACTTTAAAAATTTGCAACATCAACTGATTACTACAAAAAATACAGATTTCTTCTGGACAACAATACAGAAATTAAGAAAAAATTAGATCATCAAATAAACAGAAATATATGAGCCTGGAAACAATATTTTAATAGATTTTCAGATATTGATTATCCATCAAACTTAAAAATTCCTAACTTGAATAATAGTCTGCTCGATTTACTGTTTATATACGACGAACTTGAGGATTCAATTCGAAAAATGAAATTAAAATCAGCTCCTGGTATTGACTTAACTCCCAAATTTGTCAAATTATTACCCCCTTCGGGCAAACAACTATTACTCGACTCATTCAATTACTTTTATAAAACGTTAAAATATCCAGAAATTTGGAATACTGCTAAACTAGTCATGATCTATAAAAAAAAAAAAAAAAAGACTTCGTACAGAACCTGAGAACTATCGTCCGATTGCTTTACTACCAGTGTTAAGGAAATGCTTTACATCCATCTTAGCTAACCGTTTTCAACGATGGACTCATGAAAGTAATCTTAACTCTGGATTTCAATATGCCTTTATTAAATCCAGGGGTACAGAATTTGCTATCTTCTTATTACTTCAATTATTCAAATATATTTGCAGAAAAAACGTAGGAAAATATATGCAGCCTTCATCAATATCACCAAAACCTTTGATTCTGTTCATGTTCCGACATTGTTAAATAAATTAAAACAAAATGGTGCAGGCAATAGATTTTCAGATTCGATTATGTATCTTTTCTCTTCTTATAAACTTCATATTGTAAATGGTAACTTAACTAATCCAGAAATTATTACAAATCAAGGAATACTTCAGGGTGAACCTCTTTCTCCGTATCTTTTTAATTTCTACATAAACGACATAAATAATTTATTTGATAAGGATAACGAAGGAATATACATTAATGGATGTTATTTTCACTATATTTTTATACGCAGATGATTTAGTATTATTAGCACCAACTCATATAACTTTACAGCATAAAATTGATAGAATAAATAAATATTTATCATTATATTTATCGATCAACACTTCAAAAACAAAAATAATTATTTTTAGAAAGAATCTTAAACTATCTAATCAAGAAAAAGACCTCTGTTTAGGCATCAGACCTCTTGAAACTGTTAACAATATAAAATACCTGGATATTACTTTTAGCTGGAATGGTTTATTTCAACAGCATTTAAATATCCTTACTACAAAAATCAATTCACTTATCGATAACACTATATATTTATGTTCAGCATTAAAGATTTCTGATTTAAAACTCAAAATAAAATTTTTTAATGCTATAATTCTTCCTTCAATATTTTATGCCAGCCCAATCTGGGCTCTTGACCATTTTTATAAACTTGAAAAATTTTATATTACTTACTTATGTAAAATATTCAGGCTTGAGAGGACAGTACCAACTTATTCTATTAGAGCAGAAACAAACAGAATTCAACTATTTTCTTGGTTTTTAAAGAGACTAATAAAATTTTATTATCGACTTATAAATACAGACAATAAGAATATAAAATTTTTACACCAAAATATGTATGAAATTAATGACTTAAATTCTACTAATCATACTTGGCAGTATAAGTTTAATAATATACTTTGAACATAAAGAATTTCAAGTGTGATATTCGATAGATCTGAAACAGATTGGAAAAATGGTTATACAATAATGGTAGAATCGGCTATATTGCAATCAATAATTCAAGATCAAAATTCAATATTGAAATCAACTTATCATCCTTGGTAGCCCCAGATTTTAAAAATACCTTCCAATTACTGTTTTATTATAACCAATATAAATATGAGCATTAAACGACTATTTTTACAACTCCATTTTAATAAATATTCTTTACTGGTTAATAATACTTACATAGATTTTACCAATCAAACTTGTTATCAATCAAACTTGGTGTAAGTCAAATAACTTCTGTGTCTCATCTATTGAAAGACTGTACAGCTATAAAGAAATATCGTCAAAAATATCAAATAGTAGAAATTCTTGGTATGAACTACGATTCAAAATATACCTCAAGATTAACTAATTTATCAAAAATTAATATGTACAAACTAAACAACTTCTTTACTCAAATTACCAATATGTTTAATAATGATGATATTAATTAATTCTGGTTAACTGCATTCGAC